TCCCTACACGACGCTCTTCCGATCTCCCCAAAACCCCAAAACCCCAGTGATTAATTTAAGAGATGTTGATCGGGAATTAAAAATTAATTTTTTAATAGTAGTAATATTAAGTCTTAACATTATATTTAATTATGGAAAACCCCTTTGCCTACAAAGTAAATGATATCAAAATGAATGCAGATAATGCTGCTAATTATATCCCGCCTGAGAAAAGGAAGCAAATTAAAGACTACCTTAGTCAAACAAGTCTAAAGACTCCTGCTAATATTGGTAAATTAGAATGTGATTTATTGATAAATTAGACCCGAATAACAAGGATTAATATCAGTCAATGTATAAAGATTAAATGTAACAGCCTCCAGTTGACATCACTGCCATGCTTTAAGAAAGAGAAAAATAAATTAAGATGGGTAGATAGTCCAATATGTATATTGGAAGGGACAATATATTTAAAGATAAAAATTACAACACTCAAAAAGTAGGGTCCTCAAATGATGTTAGTTTCGAACAATAGCAAAATTAATTAGTCAATTAGAACTCAAGTGCCAATTTGAATAATAAAAATGCAGTAGATCAAAAGGAGTTAAAATCTAACTTAAGAGCTCACCATTTTTAGTTAGGCTACAGATAAAATGATGGGTAGTCTGAATCGGAGAAGGAAAAGCAATATTAAAGTGAACTTGTAAATTAGTATATGAGTGTTGGTAGAGCCTTAGATTCACACCGTAATTAGATGAAAGAACTGATGCACAAAAACAAAGACAGCTCTATAGTATTAGGGAACGAAATACAAAGAAATGCTAGTCATAACATTGATAAAAAGCGTTACAGTACTAGCTAATTTGTGAGCAATGGCTTAGCTTAAATGAGTTAATCAGCATATGCTTTGGATAATCAAATACAATCAGCCATCAGAGGTGACTCATAACTTAATAAGACCTATGATACCAGAATGATAGCTGAACTTAAAGAGGCAAATAGTAAAATTCAAGGCTTGCATCCAAATAAGCAATCAAGTATCATGCTTGGTAATCTAGAGCAATCTCCAACTAATTAGTGGGAGTCAACTAACAAGCAAATTTAAAATTAGGCATTAGATTTTAAGTACAACCCTATCGGAAAGTATGAGAAAACAGAACAATATCGCAAAACTTAGTTCCAAATTGCTCATGACTAGATACTAATGCAGAGGGACTTCGACAGAGAAAGAGATAAAATTGCAAATAAAAAACCTTAAGAAATTTTAACATAGGGAGAAAGGGATGCGATAGTAAATGAAATGAAAAGTAAGATTTAATATGATAGTAACTATTGCTTTAGGAAATCATCTACATTTAGGTAATGATAATTTCATTCCGACATAGTCAACTTAAAACCAAACATTAAAAAGAGATGTATCACCTCCAAGGCATGAGTTATAAGCAAATTTTGAAAATAGAAATTTAGTAAAAAACGTTCAGCTTGGTGATGCAAGCCAACCTTAAATTCCTTAAGACTCAGTTTACTTGAACTATCATAATTCTTAGACGGGTAAAGTTGATTCAAAGCTAATAGCTGAAAACAAGGAAAAGACGAAAATATACAAAGATAGAATTTTAAACACACAAATTAACCTTGGTGATGATGTTGATACCAAGCCTAAAAACACTGTTGTAAGAGAGGACTATACCAAATATGATGATATTGATAAGTCATTCGAAGCTGCTTTGAAAAAGAAAGAAGAGAATAAGCAAATAGTAGAAAAGCAAACTATAAATGTATTTCAGCATCAAGGATATGAAAATATGATTATTGGCAAATAAAACTAATCAGTGGATAAGTATAATGTGAAGAGGGATGACAATAAAGATTTATTTCACAATTTAAAGAAGTCTAATATTCATCTAGGAAGTGAGGCAATTGTTAAAAATTCTTAGAATCGATAGACATATGCTAGTATGGATACTAAGCAAAATGTGAACTAATATATTGAAAAGAAAAAGGAGTTTGATAAGATACAGCAAAATAGTCGCTAAGGACAAGTTTTCTAATCCACAATGGACAAAAGCTATTAGAGTGGATCAGCCTATAAGGATTAATATATATGGAAAAAGCCTAAGTATGATATTTGAGAGGAGACTATGATGACAATCTTGAATCCTTAAAACTATCTAACTAAATTATAATTATTTCTTTTGGAATAATTATTAAATTAAATTGAATATTGAATATACACATTATTTATCTCATATTTCATGTCTTATTTGCTATGTAGTGGGGTTTTGGGGTTTTGGGG